ATGTGGAGACCGGTTCCCGCTCACTGGCTGAGCACGGTGCAGGCGCAACACCGAGGGTTGCGATCCCATTGCTGGTCCCTGGTATGGGCGTGACACCGAGGGTTGCGATCCCGTTACCGGTCAGTAAAAAAGACAAAAGGAAGAAAAAAAAAAAAAAAAAGAAATACTCTTGCAGCTCATCATTTTCTCAAGTGGATCCTCCTATGTTTTCCTTCTTTATAAATGGGACTACTATCCAAGCCACCTAAAATTCAAACCTGCTAGGCCTTCTTTGATTCTAGACATCCCCTCATGACCACATCGGATGTGCCAAGCTTCCCTTTCTAACTGCATAGCATCTCTTCTCTCTCTGCTCTGGCCGCCACCAGCCCAGCCTTTGTTCTGGGTCACGGGAGTAGCATCCCGACTGCCCCTCTTCCAATGTCACATGCTTCTGGCACACAGCTGCAGAGTAACCCTCCCGCCCACCTCTAATGCCATCCTTACTCCAGCTAAAAAAAAAACTTGACAAAACTTAAGAAGTGCCTAGCTGTTCAGGAAATGTAGTCCACGCTGCTTAGCTAGATACTCTAAACCATCTCTTACTGGGCACCAACTTACCTCTCCAACTTCATTTTCCACAGCTCTTGTGGTCCTTATTGGAGCAGGGACTGCCTCCTAGGAGGTGAAGCTACTCTTTGCATAGAGGACACACCTGGCTTACTCTCTTCTTCACCTGGAGTGCCCCACCTCCCCATCCCACATGGCCAAACCCTCCCACAGCTTCCCCTGCAGAGCCCCCCTAGTCTTCCCAACTACAAATGACTCTTCTTTCTCTGAACTCTCACAGCCCATTTTCTGTACCCTCTTCTGGGATCTATATAGCACAAAGTACAAGATGATTTATGTGACTATTGTAGACTAGGAATATTTTGAGGGCATTTCTGATCAAGTTTCTTTCACCATACTTACTAGAGGGTTTTGCATATGTTAGGTACTTAATATTTGTTCACTGATTGAAGCAGAAAAACTGGACTAAATACTATTTTGTAATTAAGGTATGTACATATATTATAGAATTTTCAATGTGGCTGACATGGAGAGATGTTTACAATATATGGTTAAATGAAAAAATCAAATTATAGAAAAGTTATCTGGAAGATTCTAACAAAAGGAAACAACTATGGTGGTTTTAATTTTTTCCCTGCATTTGCCATTTTTTCTAGCATGAATATGGATTGTGTTCAAATCACTTTAAAAAAAAATTATTTGACTCAGCAATTTGCTTCCTAGAAATTTTATCCAAACGATGAACAAAATGATATAGAAGGCTGGTCATTTTTTCCATGTTTAAAACAGTAAAAAGAGGCAGACATCACAGTCTGCCCATAAGAAACTGGTAAATAAGCTCTGATACATTTATACAAAGGAATTCTACGCAGCCATTAAAAATGCTGATGTAGGAGAACATTTATTAACATAGAAAGATAAGCATAATGTATTAGTATTCAAAATAGGCTATGCAATAGTTTGGAGAAAATAAACCTACTTTGACAAATAATTATATTTATATATATAATATTAGAAAAATTCTGGAGGGATACACAATAAGTCTGTTTAACAGTCCTTTGTCCACTTATCAACAGCACAATGCTCCCTCCTCTAGCTCTGGGTCATGGGGGGTGATTCCTTCACAAATCCAACTTCCTCCTCAACGCGCGTGCGCACACACACACACACACACACACACACACACACACTGCAGCCCTCTGAATAATGCCCTCATGACCTGATGAGTCCCCCTAACTGCAAATATGAAATGTCTAATGTGCCTTTACTTTAAGCAAAGAAACAAAACATGGCATTTATCTTTATTTCTCCTTTTCTAAGTCCATTCACCATTACTTTGAAATTACAGCAGTAACCTCCAGAAAGTCTCACTAGTTAATCCCTGAGTGCCAGGACACTCTTCCAAGAGAAATATTTTCACTAAGCATTTTTCTATTCAAGAACCAACAATGATTCTTAAAATTGAAACACATTAATAATTTTTATTATTGAAACTATAAACATGTACAAAGGTAGTCAATAGTATAAACTCCCACGTTCCCATCACTAGTTTCAACAATGATCAGAGAGACCTCGTTTCATTGATACCTCCTCCACCCACTCACTCTGGATTATTCTGAACTGAAAGCTAGCGATCCTATCGTTTTCATCTAGAAATATTTCAGAATATATATATCCCTAAAAGAAACAACTCTTTGGAAAAAACATACAAACCATTAAGGCTAAAACTACTGAACCTAAAAAAGATAAATTCTTATGATCATCGCCTATCAGGTCAGTATTTGAATTTCTCCAATGATCTCTTCTCCCAGTCCCATATTTCCACTGGTTGCTATGGTTTTTTAAATCTTATAATCCATATGTTCTCTTTCTTTTTAAACATGGCTTTTGAAAATAGTTAAATTGAGCTATAAATTATATAACAAAATACACAGATTTTAAGTGCTTTGCTACATGTATATGCCTGAGGAACACCTCTCTGATTAAGACATAGAACATTTCTAACAACCTGGTGAGTTGGTCGCCACCCCACTCCCCCACTTCTCTGTTTCCAGATAATCTCTTTATTCAAGCTACTGGTGGTGCTCTAAATTTCTCTCACCATAGCTTAGTGTTATAAATGAGGGCTTTTTAAAGCTTCTCCAATCAAGGTCCACCCCCTTGTGTGGGCACCCAGGGATCCTTCGTAATGAATGTGGATAGCTTCGTCTTGCC